AATAAAAACTAAGTAAAATACTAGACTAAATTCTACATGTAATGAAATACAATGCAAGGTACCTCGACCTGTCTATGGTAATGGTGCGGTGGTTGTGCTACCCCTGGGACGCTTCTTCAAAGGTGGATTAAGCTAGTCAGATTTGGGGTTTGGTTCAGTAGGAGGAATACTAGCACCCAGAGGATTCTTGTTAGATGAAGACACAACCTGCCTTGCAGACTTCTTCATATGCCTTGTGGTCCTGCGCAGGGTAGATTGATGCGACATTGTTAGTTGGCTAAGCGTCTCACTAATAGGTGCCTCAGTAGTTACGGGGGTCTTGGCTGGCTGCTCGGGCTGGGTTTGGGGCTGGGGTTCTTATTCTTACTCATCTCTTTCGGGTATACTGGGTATTATACTGTTTGACATTTGACAGTGTCGTGGCATTTTTAGTTTGCTGCAATATGAAGTCAGGGAAAACCGAGAGATCTTAGACCCATTGTGGGAATATTTCCTTGAATTAGGACTCTATCATTGTGTCTCGTTGCTTTTAGTAGGAAAATAATGTTCAGAGATCGTCTAATAAAGTCTCCACCTGTGTCATTGCATGCCTAGAAGACTCAACAACAGAAGTGGCTAATCTTATTGCGACATTTATCTTTGCACTGACTTCTACAATCTTCTTAAGTCAGTCCTCATTAAATACCAATAGCACAGGCAACATTTCCTTTGTGGTGCCTTTCAATCCCAGTAAGAACTCATCGAATTCATCCTCAATACATCCCTTCTTTCGGTAAAGTATTGTGATGAGATTCAGAAAGACTAAAGAACCTGTCGGTCGTTTCAAACATGTATGCGCTTGCTTCACAATGTTTTTCCAATGTCTATCGTGCGTCCCACAAGTATCGAGTGCATTAAAATCTTAGCCCTTGGTTAGAGTCGGTCTCTATTCACTGTGCACTAGCTAACTTGGTTGCCCTTCCATTCGATGTTTTGAAAATATAGATCCGTCAACACACCTTGTTATGCCTCATTTTTAGCCTCCTCAACAAACTTGGATTGACGAACAACAAACATTCTACAACTTGAATTAGCAGTTAATGGCGGGAGGGGTAAAGCGAATAAATTTACACCTAACGAAAATGGAACATTGCGTCAGGTATGAGATATTTGCATAAAACTCTTTAACAATGGTGACATTGACATTTCTTGGGTACTTTGTGAACTTCTGCTACCATATTTTAGAAACCACATATAACACATCCACCCCTAAATCTTTGTTGGCCGCATTAGAGAAGACAAAGCCTTGTTTAAGAAACCATTGTGATTTTTTATGTTTTGGAACTATTCCTTTGCTTCTTCATCAGGAAATTGTTGTGGGAAGGAAGGGTTTGCATTTGCAGGATGGGTACGCACCATTTTTGCTTGAGTGTAGAAAAGGTGAAGTGAAAAGCTTGAAGCTTTGGTTATGGAGGATTCAGTTTTGACAGAGAAAAGAAAAAGAAAGAGGCGTGGTGAAGACAAAGAAATAATTTGGAGAGAGAAAAAAGATGAAAATTGATAGAGTGGGGGGTTTAACGTGTGGAGGGGGTTTTGGGAGAAGAGAGAGAAGAATAAAAAGTGGAAAATAATAAATGATGGGTAAAAAGTAGGAAAGATAAAGTCATGATTATAAGAATAAAGGTGGGATTTGAAAATTAAAAAAATTAACTCCCTCATTTCTTTTGTCTTTTGCCGCCCAAAATATTAAAAGTAGGGTTTTTCCTCTTTTTTGTCTTTGTACGAGCAACCCCCACTTGTCATGGATGAAACAAAAATAAAATAGAATAAAACCTTAAAAGAGAATGTGAAAAATAATGAAAAAAATAAAAAATGCACGGGTTATTTATGCACAGTAGTAAATCTTAAATGTTGTGGTATTTTCAAAAAGCTTAGAATGGTAAACTCAGGCGTCTTACAGGTAGAGTGACAACTTATCACACAAGGGTGAAGCTCCATTGTAAGCCTTTAATCGTTATCCATTTATTTTAAAAATGGTCACATCATCTATATATTTTTGATGTCGACAGCTCCATGAGGGTAGACGTGGTTCACTTTAAAGGGTCTTGACCATCTTGACTTTAGTTTACCTGAAAAGAGACTTAATCTTGAGTTGGAGAAGAGCACTTGTTGACCAACATGAAAATGTCGTGGAAAAAGCATTCGATCATTCAATTTCTTAGTCTTCTCCCTATAGAGCTTGACATTTTCATATACTTGTTCCCTAAACTCTTCCATTTTATTGAGCTCCAATAATATTTTCTCTCCAGCTAATTGCACATTAAAATTGAGTTTTTTGATAGACAAATAAGCTTTATGCTCTTGCTCGACAAGAAGATGACACGCTTTTCCATACACCAATTTGCTCGGGGACGTCCATAGTGGAGTTTTAAATTCCTTTTTGTAATCCCAAAGTGCTTCATCGAGCTTTGGGGACCAGTAATTTCTTATGGGGTTCACTACCTTCTCGAGAATCTTCTTGATCTTACTGTTGGATAACTCAGCTTGGCCATTTGTCTGGGGGTGATATGCCGTGGTAATTTTGTGTCGTACCCCTTACCTCTGCAATGCCTTGGCAATTACCTTGTTGTCAAAGTGAGTGCCTTTGTTACTGATGATAGCTCTAGGTGCTCCAAATCTGGTGAAGATATTTTTATGCAGGAACTTGAACATGATCTTAGAGTCATTCTTTGGTGTTGCAATTGCCTCGACCTACCTAGACACATAATCCACGACCAACAAGATGTATAGATCTCTAAAGGATGATGAGAAAGGTCTCGTGAATTTAATCCCAACACGTCAAAGAGCTCGATCTCTAAAATATTTTACAGCAGCATTTCGTGTCGTCTGGTAATGTTCCCAGTACGTTGGCATTGATAGCAGACCTTGTAAAATTCATGAGAGCCTTTGAATATTATAGGCCAATAAAAGCTCGATTGAAGGACCTTTGTAGTAGTCATTGCACCTCCAAAGTGGTCTCCACATGGGGTCATATGGGAATGGTATATGATGTCCTTTTGTTCATTCTCGAGGATACATTGATGGATCTTCTGGTCTGCACAATGCTTGAAAAAATATAATTTGTCCCATAAATAAAACTTGACATCATTCTTGAACTTCCTCCTACCCTGGCTGTTCAAATCATAAGGCAAAATTCCACTAACAACAAAACTAACGATGTCAGCGTACCACAGAAATACCGCGACATATAAGATTTTCTCTTAAGGGAATTCCTCTTGAATATCTAAAATGTCATGGCATTTTGAATTGTTTTCTAGCCTAGACAGGTGATCTGCAACTTTATTCTCGATACCTTTCCTATCTACAACCTCCAATTCAAATTCTTACAGTAGTAGTATCCACCTAATGAGTCTAGGCTTGACATATTTCTTGTTCACTAAATATTTTATAGCTAAGTGATCAGTGTGAACAACTATTAAGTATGGCCTAAACTTGTGAAATGCATATAACACAACAAGTAGTTTTTCTCAGTTGTTGTGTAATTCAATTTTGCTTCATTTAAGGTACGATTAGAAGAATAAATAACATGGAAAGTTTTACCTCGGTGTTTCCCAAGCACAACTCATACGATATAATCACTCACATCACACATAAACTCGAATGGTGAAGTCTAATCGGGGAAGAAAATAATGGGTGCTGAGATAAGCCTTTGTTTCAGCTATATGAACGTGTTATGGAAAATTTCATCAAACAAAAAGGGCCGATTTTGTTGAAGAAAGGTGCACAAGGGCTTGAAGATCTTGGAGAAGTCCTTGATGAATTTTCTATAAAAACCAACATGTCCAAGAAAGCTCCTAATGCCCTTGATAGAGGTCAGTAGAGGCAACTTCTCAATTACATCAATTTTGGCTTTATCCACCTCAATTCCCTTGTGCGAGATCTTGAGGCCCAACACAATGCCTTCAGTCATCATGAAGTGACATTTCTCCCAATTAAGCACAGGCCATCCTCCTCACATCTCTTGAGCACTCATGCCAGAATGCCAAGACATTTCTCAAAGTTATCTCCATAAACGAAGAAGTCATCCATGAAAATTTCTAGAAAATCCTCAACCATGTCAGAGAAGATAGCTTGCATGCAGTGCTAAAAAGTTATCAGGGCATTACATAGTCCAAACGACATCATTCGAAAGGCATAAGTTATATATGGGCATGTGAAGGTTGTCTTCTCTAAGTTCTTCAGTGCTATGGAAATTTTATTGTACCCAAAATATCCATCTAGAAAGTAATAGTATGCCTTACCCACCAATCGATCTAGCATTTGATTGATGAAAGGTAGAGGAAAATGGTTATTCTTGGTAGCTTTGTTCAGTTTATGATAGTCCATGCATATTCTTCATCATGTGATAGTTCGGGTGGGTAGGAGCTCATTGTCCTCATTGCTCACCACGGTTATGCCTCGTTTATTAGGGAATCCTTGTACCGGAAACACCTATGAACTATGAATGTAGGGTAAATCACCCCAACATCAAGCCACTTAATGATATCTTTCATCACCACCTTTTTTATAATAGGGTTGAGCCTTCTTTGTAACTCAATAGAATTACTATGACATTCTTCCAGCAAAATTTATGCAAGCAAATGGTGGGACTTATCCCCTTCAAGTTATCCATGGTCCATCCTAACACTTTCTTATGTTGCGACAAAACACTTAACAAACTACATTCTTGGTCAGTAGTATGTTAGAGGAGATAATCACATGTAAAGTATCATTACCACCTAAGTAAGCATATTTAAAATGCTTTGGCAAATTCTTGAGCTCTAGGATAGGTGCATATAGTAATGAGGTATTAGGATGAACAAATTCATCAAAATCAATAGGTTCAATATGCTTACCTGGTCTAGCTGTGAGTAAGCTAGACTTCTCCACCTCCAATGGAAATTCCTCGGTCTTCTCATGCTTTATTCTTTAATGAGTCTCTCATAATCTGCCAGCTGTATAAAATTATTGTGGAAAATTTGTTAATCTTCCACTTCTATCAATGAATCCACTTCAAAAATGATCTTGCATTCTTCCGAGTCATCAAAATATTTTTGTGTACGAAAGACATTCACAGTCAAACACTGGTCAGCCACTCTCATGGTGAGTTCACTTTTTTTACAATCAATAAGGATGCGACCAGTGGCAAGGAAAGGACTCCCCAAAATTATAGGTGCATTATTATCAACCTCGCAATCAAGTATATGGAAGTCCATTGGGAACACAAATTTATCCATCCGCATAATGACATCTTCGACTCTCTCTTTGGGACGAACATGGGAATGATAAGCTATTGAAAAAATAATGGAGGTGAGTCTTGTATTTCCCATCTCAAGCTTAAAAAATATTAACTTAGCCATTAAGTTCACACTCGAGCCAATATCACAAAGTGTCATCCCAACATAGATGTCTCCTATAGAATATGGAATGATGAAGCTACCCAGATCTTTTTGTTTTGGTGGCAACTTACTCAGAGCAAAGCAATCAACTGTCTCATACTTCCCAACTTTCATATTCTTGGTCACAATTTCCTTGATAAATTTAGCATAAGTAGGCATTTGGTCAATGCATCCAAGAATGGAACATTAATATATAGCTGATTAAGAATGTCAACAAAATTCTTGAACTGAATGTCATCATTATACTTCTTCAGTGTTTGAGGGAAAGGCGGTGGGGGTCTGACTTCTTCTACTGAAGGTGTGAGGACAACTTTTGTTGTAGCATTTTTAGTTATACCCTCAATAGTTCCACTTGTTGAACCATCATCCTTGTCCTTCTCTCCAAGTGTCTCTTCTTACATCTGAGATTCAACTTTCTCGATTGTGGAGTTGGAATCATCATTCTTCATTACCCCAAACTTATCTTGTTGATTAAAATGGGTGCCACTTCTCAAAGTGGGTACACTGCATTGCTCATTGCCATGAGATTTAGTGACCTCAGTGTCACTAGGCAGACGTCCTGGTTGGCATTCTTGTAGTGTTATGGCAATTTGACCAACATGAGCATCCAAAGCTCTTAGAGACGAGCTATGGCTTTGCAGTAAAGCTCCTTGACATTGAAGTAGAACACCTTGATTCTTAATAGTAGTGGCATGGTCTTGAAGCATGGTCTTGGTAGCTATTATAAAATCTTGCATAATGGCATCCAAAGAATTTGTATTTGATGAAGGTGGTGCCCCTTGTTAGAATTATGCCATGGCATATTCATTGTATAGAATCGGGGTTCATTGATATTCTGCTACCGAGTTGAGTGACTAGTATTTGGGACTCCTTGATTTTCCAATGAAAAGTTAGGATGTTGATGCCATCATGGATTGTAAGTGTTGGAGTAGGGGCTGTTGTTACCTCGGTTGAAATTTTCCACAATGTTTATGGACTCATGATTTTCTAGGCATTCACTCTCATGGTGATTTCCATGGCATAAAAGACATGCTAAACTCGTTGCCTTCACTTCTTTCACCTTTTTTTAACGTTGCAAGTTCTTCAACATATTTGTGATAACTGAAAGTTGGGCGGACACTGAGTCCTTAGCATCTAACTCATCGGTCCCAGGTGCCTTCCTCCCAGGTTTCCACCTCTTTAGGAGATTTTTCTAGCAAACTCCCATTAGCCGAGGCATCTAGCATCATACTTGTGGCTGCATTTACTCTATCATAAAACATTACAACTTGAGTCTAATATTGGAAACCATGATTTGTATAGTTACAAAGCAATCCCTTATATTGGTCCCAACACTTATACATAGACTCGTCATCAGTTTGACGAAAAAATGTTATGTCATTTCTAAGTTGATTGTTCATGTTCGACAAATTATACCGTAACCAAAAAACATTTTCATATATTAGACCAAGACTCAATCAAGCCAAATGGAACTCCACTCAACCAGGCCCTCGCTTGGTCACACAATGGAAACAACTTAAGCTTTAACACATCTTCATGCACTCCTTGTTGCCTGAAAGAATCACACACCTCCAATAAGTTACGAATGTCTTGCTTGGCCTCTTAATGAGGCATACCCCTAAGCTTCCCTATAGAATTCAACATATTGAACATGACTGGTTTGAGCTCGAAGTGGGTTGGCTAAATCTCATATGCGACATTACCAGGATTTAGATAATCAAAAATAGTATTTAAGTGATCACAAATAGCTTGAGGCCTAGAAATATTCCAAGCATTTGGATCGCCTCGACATTTTGATATGTCTGATTCTCCACTTGGCTAACACCTTGGTTCTACAATCTATACATATTTCGATGAGCACGTTGAGCACATCTCATTCGTCTAAAAAATCATTCAATCTTAAGTACAATTGGTGTTACTAATTCCTCAGGATGTCATCGGGTCATTCACCAATTATGCGTGAAAAGGTAAACAAAAATATCAAGTAAAACTATACAAAAATATAAATAAGTAAAATAAATATGCTATGATAAAAATATTAAACTTCCAGTTGTCATTCCCTGATAACAGCGCCAAAAACTTGTTCGCACTGTGAGTTCTTATAAATTTACGCAAAAATATGTGCAAGTATAAACAATCAAATAAGTAATATAGAGTGAGTGAGTATCATCTCCACAATGATTGGAGGAGATTACTAGTTAAGTTAAAGCAACAAACTACTTTATCTCCGTATAGCTAATGGTATACACAAATGGTTATGTCAAGGCAAAATTAAATACCTATAGATGGGGTAGAAATGGTAGTGTGAGTAGGTGAAAAATGAGAATAGCATGGCAAAAATAATTGTTTAGAGTGCAGTCAAATGAAAATGCTAAGGCAAAACATATTGATAACTTGGGAATTAAACAAGATGACTTGATAATCCTTACACAACAAGCTATTATGGGAATGAATGATGGCGTCACCTAGGAATCTTAATTCTTATCTTTTAAGATGGTTTAAACTTCTTTGTCTTACTTGCTCAATAGAGTTTACTATAAGTATCCCTACACTATCTCTAGTCAAGGGACCTCACATATGAGAATGTCACAACAAATCCTAGTAGCCTGATGTAACAACAACTAACCTATCAAATTGACACTTCTTCGTTTAGTCGTTGAAATCCTAACCTCATATCTAATGGTGGATTAGGCTCTAGTTATTAGCTAAAACCCATTTCTTACACCAATCTTCCTTTAGTTTCTCTCGAACACCAAAGATTATTTACTTAGTTTCTCTCGAACACTAAGTAGAATGCTTAAGAAAATGCTACTCTCATATCTACCACAATCTTAAGTAATTAAAAAGAATAAGAAAAACAAGTAATAAACATAGAAATATCAACCATCCCTTAAATAAAAATACTTAATCCTCCTTGATAAACCCCACCAAATAAAGTTAGTTCATGGTGGGGTTCGAATAATCTGTTCCTTAAAACCCATAAAATATGAATGAAAATAAAGTATAAGGTGGAGGAAAAACTCCTAAATCGCATTGTCGGAGCTCTTTCGGCCACCACAAACCACCTTAGAAGTACTAGATCCTCTCGAACGCCTAGACCACTCCTCAAGCTTGAAAATGGAGAAACACCACCAAAGGGGTAAGAAAAAGAAATAAAGTTGGAAGCTTGTTGCTGCCTCCCTTCTCTTGTTAAACTCACTTTTTTTTTCAAGAAGATTATCTCTCTTTTTGTTTTGTCTTAATCTATTCATACTAAGGGAATATACCTAGGGTTTTGTGTAAAAATGATAATGGTACCTAAGGTACATTCCCTAAAAGTAAAAATAGAGTACAAAGGTGGTACTGGTCCCCTCTTAGGTGGCAGGCAGCAGGAATCATGTTATGGCTGGACAACTGGCTCTTTTATATAAATATCGTTAGATCTTTTTTGTCTTTTTCTATGCCCAAAAATGTTATCCTAGTTGCTGCGAAATTTTCATTCTACTTCAGCATATAGTTTACCACGACAATTCTCCTCACACACCCATTTAATTTATGACATGCACATCATCAACCAGACATAACCTTTCCCGTAAAGAGGCACCAATATGTCACATAAAATCAAATCCACCACATGTAACTACATGATCCTATATGGTCCTAAATGTGCCCTAAGAAAATAAATAACTTCAGTAAAAAGGCTCTAAATATAGTCTTAGGAGTTATCAGTCATCACACAGGTAATCTGAGCTGAATAAGAGTCTTAGTCAAATTCATATTTGCGAGATCTTTGATGTGTGGGTAGTCGACTACATGGGTCCCTTCATTTATTCTTTTGAAAATACATACATTATTCTTGCAGTTGATTATGTCTCTAAATGGGTAGAGGCAAATGCTACCTGAAACAATGATTCCAAAATGACTATTTACTTTTTTAAGAATTTTATTTTTTTAAGTTTGGCACTCCGCGAGCGATCATAAGCAATAGAGGAACTCACTTCGTCAATCAAGTCATTGAAGCGCTGATGAAGAAATATGGCGTGACTCAAAGAATTACCACAACCTACCATCCACAGGTGGACGAACAAGAGAAGGTATCAAATTAGGAGATGAAGTGATTCTTGAAAAAATAGTCAAGTCAGACTACATATAAAGGTCCTATTGGAATGTACCATTCCGTTTTGCCTTCGAAAAATATGCCATTTTCCAGTTAAGTTAGAGCATAAGGCGTATTGGACGATCAATCAATGTAACATGAATATGGATGCGACTAACGAGGCACGCATGTTGCATATCCAAGAGCTTGAGGAAATCCGTAGTAACGCTTATGATAGCGCTTGAATATTTAAAGAAAAGACAAAGGAGTTCCAACATAATAGAGTTACCTTTAAATATTTTTCTCTTGGTTAAAAGGTTCTATTATTTAACTCTAAGTTTAAATTTTTTGCAGGTAAACTTAGATCGAAGTGGCTCAGACCCTTAACGGTAACTCAAATATTTCTTCACAGCAAGATCGAAGTTGAAGATAGTTTGGAAGTTCGATTTAAAGTCAACTATTAGATGTTGAAGCCATTTTATGAGAACACCCCAGTTTGTTTAGTTGAAGAAATCACTTTGGAAGAACCTGTAGTCCGAATCAAGTCGACGAGCTCAATGACGTTAAACAAAATGCTTCATGGGAGGCAACCCATTTTTCATTTCATTTATTTTGTTTTCTTTCATTTTAATTTTTATTCTTTGATTTCGTTAAGCATTTTACTTATGTTAATTTTTATTTTAATTTTTTAAGTACCTCAGTAAGTTTATTTAGACTTAAACAGAGTCAAAAGTAGTGTTTTCGAAGGAATTAGGAAACTTTTGGATACCCAGCACAACAACACGCGTAATCTTCCTTCCAGTAGTGAAGTGTATCATTTCATTAATCGACACACATTATCAAAAACCCAAAAAGGCACGGCGCACATTAGTTTTACCCTGCCTACTTTTATCACTACATTTGTCGTCTATTTTGAAACCTTCCCCCTTATCTCTAAAATTTTGACCGGCCACTCACCTCACTTGTTTCAAATTTTGAAACAAATTTTATTTTATCCAAATACCCAGCCACACATGTCTATTTACTTATACCCAACATCATTTTATTTTATTATTTTACCCTAGCAGCCCGACCCCTTTTATTT